TACCGAATTCAAATGATCGAAAACAAAATATCACGTTTCAGTCATTCCAGTTTTTATAAGTGGAAAATTACTTATAATAAATGTTCAATTGTAGATTTGTGGAGGGAATAAATTTGATTAAAATATAAGAAATATATATAAATTTTTATTCTTTAAAATAGGCTAAACGTGAGAGAGGTTTTTGTTTTGCTCAAATTACATATACAATATTTCTAATATTATGGAAAGATATACAATATTTTAGAATAAGACAATGTGATCGATAAATTTAAATGGTCTTTGCATAAGATTCATTTAAGAATAATACAGAAAATGTAATCTGGAATTTATTAAATTAAAATATTTACAAGTATATAATAACATAAATATTGTACAACTGGTTTAATTTTAATATTTTGACACAATTGTATTTTTAGTTTTCAAAACAAAATGAATTATCTGTATGCATACAGTTTAATTTAAAGTATAATAAATATTTTTCAAAATAGCATTCCTTTATATTTAATATTTTTAAATTCATCATATAATTTAAGAATTTTTATATACAGCAATACCATAAGAGTCTATCCAACCCTTCATATGGTTTGACGACAACAATTGCTAATATTTATTTATTTATTTTAATAATATTCCAGTACAACAGGACGTGTTGTATGACTTATAGCAGTAACCCACTGAAACTACACATATTCCATATCATTAAAATCAATTTCACGCCAAAAAACTTGGTAATTATGTAGCTACAGCGATCAAAAGTCCATCGCACCTTCAGACAAATGTAATACCATTAAGTAACTTTTTGTGGATGCAGTAATCTATCGAAGTGACTTCTGGCTTTATACCAAGCGAAAAATGAGTTGCATCACTCAAAAAATTCGATTAGATAAATCGTTATATGAAAGCTGTTATTCGCAGAACCAATCAGCGTATGATTTGCGCATTGCATCATCAGCTGGCTGAAATTCTTGTGTTAGATAATTTTTATAAAATTCGAGATACAAATTCAAATGGAAAATTCGTAGCAATGTGCGGAATGATGTGCCAAAAGCTGTGTGCTTTTAATAAAATTTGTATTTTCTTTGTCACTGTCACTAAATCTACCATAGCAATATGTTATGTATACTAGTTGTTTCAATGATATCCAGGCTTTAGTTAATCTAGTTCAGATCCAGTTTCTTCAAATTTTTTCACAGTTGTATATACAGTGCACTGCATATAGATAGACGATAGTCGATAGTCTTCTTGTAATGCTTGAAATATATATACTATATAATCGTTGTATAATAAGATTCCACAACGTAAACACATTTAACAGCTTTTAAACAGTTGCTATTGTTAAATGTGAATCCTTAAACTTAATGCATAAAACTGCATAATGGTTCGCAGTTATATTTAGCATACATCACTGGCACATTGCTGCCAAATTAGGATCATAAAATGGATAACCTTTTATAATCATGTTTTTTAAGTTTTAATATAATTACGCTCAATTTAAGACATTTAAAAATTACTATACCCCTTGTAGGGGACATAAGAATAGAGCGTTCAGAGTAGGTAAGGAGACCAATCCAGTATTTTCTTTAACTTTTATGAGAGAACTATTTTCATTTCATGATCTGTTTTTTTAGTTGCGAGTATTTTTGGAAAAATCACTAAATAAAAACTTCAATGCGAATTCCATAGCTATAGCTGTAACCTTCACTTTCTTTGCAAACTATCTTTCGACGAAACATTTTTATTTTTATTGTTACAAATTTAATACCTTGGTCTTTCGTCTATTTTTTAACTGCCTCCCTGAATAATAAAATTACTACATGCCCCAAGTTGAAAGACATTGCTTTATAGCGTGTAACGCTTCACTTGGATTATATGCGACCAAACTCAGCACGAAATAATCGAGAATACACATTTTGAAGTCCTGATACATAAGCATTATATTCTTTCAATTATATAAACAACTTTGATATATTTCACTAGAGATTATCTCTTAATTGTACATATAACTGACTTACACATTTATTACATACAATTAAATTATTTATAAGAGCTGATTCAGTAATATAAAAACCATTGCAGATTTAGTAAGCCAAAGTTGGTTTTTTATGTACAGATATCAGTGATTAAAAGGAAAACTATATTGAGGAAGAGTTTAATACAAAACCAAATACTTTATATTAGTCATACAAACTTAATTTAACTTGCAGTTGCAAATTGTTGTATAATATTAAAGCAGTTTTAATGTGTTATTATCCAACTAAAGGAGTTGATACACACAGAAGGATACGCCAAAAACTGTATATATAACAATTTATGTTCAGTAAAGCAGTGCGAATAGACCTGCCAATATTCTTTTCTCTGTGTTTCTATCTGTGAACATATAGTACATTGACTTTTAGTCATTAACAAATAAATTTTCTTATATTGACTAACTTCTTATTTCGAAAATTGCAATATAACTCTTCTATAAGTAGTATTGAACAAAGAAACACTTAACTTTTGAATGGGTGCCGTCAATTTTTGTCATTATACAATATAATCTCAGGAAGAAAATCTGCAGATATTGTAAATGTTATTAGATAGAGTATTCCGCAACAACTAGCAATACAGCAGTGATGCATTACGCAAAAAAAAAATACTGCAGGAAATAGTTAATATCAAATGCTTGTAAATTAATCGTTTATATTTAGTTTTTACTATAAAAAACTCAAAAATATTGAATTGAAATACCAAGTTGGTCATTTACTATTTAATTATACTTAACTGCTTTTAATTTACTAGAAACAGAATAGAATTCTATTTACAGAATAGTATTGAAACTTAACAATTAAAAAATAAATATATAATTAATTAATTCAATTATTCTGCAGCTGGTTTATGATTTCATTCTAATGTAAACACAGCAAGTAAATTTGTTAACAAAACTTTCATAGCAAAGTAACAAAACTCCAGAAAAATGTGCAAACGGCTTTGTCAAGTACGGCTTTGGGTCAGTTGGTTAAGGTGCACTGACTCTAAGCTTCAAATTTGGCAGGAACCGAGTTCGATTCCTGGTACTTGCAATCTCAAAAAAAAAAATTATTTACGAATAATTAAATACAAGAATAATTTCCAAGGTCACTGATGATGGATATTTGGTAATACTCGAAACAGTATTATGGTCAACCAAAAATTCAATTAATTAAAATAATATATAAAAAATTTTTGTTCTTGTAGTTCACTAGAGTTCGAAAAAAGTTCTAAAAATTAAAAATTATTTACTATTATTATATTTCATACGAATGCAATAAACTTATATTCATGCATAATATGATCGTTATATATCATTATAATTTGTATAAGCAACTAGCTATTAAAATAAATATTGTCCTTGGGAAAACAAATGAACCCTGTTAATTGAGTTCTCATGAGATAAAGATACATTCCAAAAATAAAGAAAATTTATAGAACTCTTTTTATATTTCCAGTACAATAACGTTTAACTGATGAATGTGAGTTTATAACTATTATTCATTTAATGTAAACACTTCTATGTATTTTTGCGTTACACAGACAACGTATAACAGATACATGCCACGAAAAAAGATATGTTTCGATATATTACTTGAGTTATACACCAAATTTTTTTAATATATAAACTGTACAATTATATTTTTTTTTTCTATTACAACATAAATATTGCAAAGATATACTCTCACGTAGGCTAGGTTATACCGGCGATCCTAAGAGATCCACTTACGCCTGTAGGCACATTGAGCTACTGCATTATTAAAAAAACCAAAGGGTTAAAACCATTTCGAATCTTTGACAAAGTCTATAATGCTATGCAGAAAGAAGTCCTAAAGTTGCTTTCACGTAAAACTTGTTATTATTGCAATTACCATGAAATGGTGCATAAATACAGCACTTTATATCTCTATGCAAAACTTTTTAAATATAAGTACTCCAAATGTTGTAATAAAAGCCTAAAGAAATTGGTATTGTTGTGTTTATATTATTAATATAAAGTATATTATAACTACTGAAATTGCTTTGGTGACGTTTACACTTTCTTAGTTAGTATAGTTTGAATATATCTTGTGTCCTTATTGGATAACAAAACTATATATTTTGAGTTAAATATGCACAGATGAATGTAACTAATTTTTTTCTAATTTTTAAGTTATTTTACGTAAAAGATATACTTTTTTAAAACTTATAATAAAAATATGTCATATATACCAATTAACGAAAGTTAACGGGTTAAGTGGAAACAATGGTAACTCTAAGTTTATCAGATATAGTTTATGAAAGCTGTCATTTTGTTAATAATCATTTAATTCCTGATCATTTGTAGTTGCTCATAAAGTGACCGATCGTGAAAAGGTGTAGATTGTTTTTATTCGAGTAGTAAAAATATAAAATTTATAGCAAAATTTGATAAATAGAATAACTTTAAATTAATTCTATTAGATACAAACTCATCAGTAATTAGATATATTTACAAACATATTTAACAAAATAAATAACTGCATAAAAGCATATAAAAATATCAGCAGTATTCAACGTGAACAATTTTACGACATTGGATTTCATCATCTAAGGTTTCTTTTGTAAGTCTTTTTTTACCAAATATAAATGATAAATATATATGTACATATCTAAAGGATATTAAAGTAAATATTTACATAGTTTTAAAGAAAAAACGCTTCTATGTATTGTACTTTTCATTGAGCATAAAAAAATGATCGATTTACAATTTAAATGATGTCATCAAATTCATCGAATTACGTATATACGTGCACGTAGAGAATTGAACTTTCATCTGTAAAAGAAAACTATTATATCTTTAGAGATATAATAAGATATTAAAATAATTAAGAAATATGTATATATATTTTATCTGAATAGATGAATCGAAACAGAAATGGCACTTACTGTAAAAAGAGTTGTTTATAAGTAAAATAAAGTGAAATAAAATAAAATACAACCTCTTTGAAAATTTATAAGGATAATACTTGACAGACTTACCTATACAACAGAAAATCGTATTTTCGATATTACAATTTACTTTGCTTTTAATAAACTATTATTAAATTTAAATTATATAAAAAATACCCTACAACAAAGTTTTGAATACATTTCATTAGAGAACTTGTTGAGGTGATTACTTTGAATTTCTTTTAAAATATATTAAACTTGATCAGCTAAGCGAGATTCTTTGATCAAATCGTATCTATAATCAAATATTATTTTTTGAATTGAATTTTAAGTTTCTATAAATAATAATATTAGGTTTTTAGAAAAAAGTTCTAAACAAAGATCAATCAATTTTCGAATAAAATAATTTAAATTTCAATAAAAACTTTCAAGGTTTCGTATATAGGCAAACTTTGATGACTGGACTAAATAACAAGAAATACATTATCATACAAAAAGTACACGTAAAAAACATTCACTACGCATTTTATTTCTTTTTTTTTTTAAATAATACGAAAACTTTGGAAAAAAAATATCAAACTTACATCATAATGTTTTTGAAACCAACTCAGTGTAAAAGGGTTTGAGTCCTCAGGAGTCCCAGGGTTTGATATTAAATCGAAATCTCGTTGAGAGCCTATTAAACAGCAATGTTTATTTTTTTTCAAAAAGAGTAGAGTTATTTTTATCTCATGTATTTAATTTTTTTCAAAACATACAAAATTTTCATTTCTGAATAAAAATCATTTCTGTTTGATTTATTCCTTTGATCAAGGAATGTTCTTCTAAAATTTTTAATTTTCAACAAATATTATAAAATATACTATTAGTCTAATTGTAAAAGGAAGCATTCTATATTTATAAATAAAAATTATTAATTTGATTTGATTAACGCTATATCTAAATTTTATTTTAATTTTTGTTTTACTAAAACGTTGGTTAAAAGTATTAAAATTAATAATAAGAAAAAACTAATACTGTATTACACATTACCAAATACTTAGAAATTACTATAAAAACAAAAAAAAAATAAAGACTTAAAAAAAATATTAGAATAAATAGAAGATAGTTTCATGTTGTCAAGCACAATTTTTACCGAAAAAATTTAAACATGTGGTAAAAAATTAAAATTACTCATATTCATTTATGTCTTTGTATTGTTATATATGAAATTAAAACAGTTGTCTACGGATTTATAGTATAAAGGAAAATATAATATGTATATATCTGCTTCTGTAGTGTCTATTAATAATGCCGTAAAAAAATATATACGAGTATATAGATGTTATATAGATAACATTTCAATTTTTTTAATTTTGTTACAATTATTTATCTAGCAAATATATTATTATATTCTAGGAATTTAATATGATATTATATAGCTCTTCCATATATGAAGTAAAATATGTTTTACTAAATGAAGTACAATTTAAAATTGGAAAAAAAGATTCGATTGTTAGATTAATAGAATTATTGATAAAAAAAATTTTTGAGCACATGACCGCCATGGGAGTCTCTAGGATGCAGGAGATTCAATTTTCTATTATTTTTTTATTTAACCGAAACTGCGCGACTCGCATAGTACTATCGACGAAACCATAGAATATGTCTTGATATCGAGCGCTGTTAACAGCGACACCAACAGTTTTTTATTTTTTAACTGAACGGTGATAACAACATAGTTACTCCTTGTGCATCATCAACAATGCCTTGGCGTTCAAAAGAGTAAATATGCTATAAAATTTTTAAATTATTTGCTACATATCCGAAATATTTGGTTGATTGTTGGCCAAGAAATCGATGCTATACATATAAAATTTTTTTCGGAAAGTATTTGAGTATATAAAAAATTTTAGATATCAAATAAACTTTCATCTTTTCATAAACGATAAGCTGCTACATTAAAAAAAGATATCAACTATATACTTAAAGACATGTAACATATATAATACATATAATACAATAATCGATACGAGTATAACAATTCATTTTTTGACTCTACATAAATCTATAACTCACAAAAGAATAAACAATGAACGATTTGTAAAACATTTATATATATGTTTTACATGGCTTACTAAGTCAATAGAAAACCCATGCTTCTTTAGTGGTTCCTGATATTATTTTCCCCTATCATTACTGTTATTTATAATTGTTAGTATTCTTAATAAATATGTATGCTAAACATATCTTTTATAGTTTTTACAGCGTTAATACATCGAGTTTTAATTAAGGAAGCATTTTTTAGATAAAATGCTTAATTTGCAATTAAATTTATTTTGTTTCATTATATTATTTTTGAGATTTAATTTCTTACAATTAAAAAACCATAAAAAGTACAAAATAATGCTGAACAAAATTATTGGCGCACTTACATTCTAATGAACTACTTTAACATAATTTCATGGATCGGAAAAATTTTTCCTTAAAAAGACCTGATATTTCTACATTATAAGTGACGTGGTACTTTAGTTTTTAGCTAAAAACGTTATAATGCTTATAATATAACAAACTTATTCCACTGAAAACAAAATGACCAGTAAACAAAAAGACACCACCAAATCTCAGGGGAAAATAATTCTATATGCACAAACAAGGGAAATCTTATGCCGATGTTGGGAAAATGATGAGTAAAAGCCGCAACATTAATCGGAACATTTTGTAGCATTCCAAGAGGGCGACATCATTGCAAAATACAAAGCACACAAGCCAACCTAAAGCTTTGATCAATCGTAAACGTAGCAAAATAATAAGAAAGGTCAATCCAAAAATATCTTCTACCCAGATCGCAGCTCAAGTTAAGTAGGAGTTTGGCAAGGATGTTCATAGCATGACGGTCAGGAATATGCTGCATGAAATCAATCGCAGTTGGCGTGTTGCTAGACGAAAACCGTTTATTTTGTATGTCGACTACCAGAAGCATTTAGCCTATGCAAAGGAGTACCTAAGTAAGCTTATCGACTTTTGGAACAATGTAATCTTCTCGAGTAAAAGAAAATATAATATTTCTCAATCCAAGGGTTGTCAAACGGTTTGGAGAAAACTAAATATCGAACAGCAAATAAAAATAATAATGTCTGTAAAACATGGTGAGTGTATGAAGGTGCTTGTACGCTGCAGGTGTCGGTGAATTGGAATTCATTGACTGTATTATTTACAAAAATTAATATAGGGCCATCCTCAAGAAATTCGTAAAAACAATTGCCGAGATCTTGAGTTCACCAGCCACGTTTAGCTTTCAATATGAGTCTCAGTCGCGTTTCATATAAAACACACATTGCCGTGTCTACACCAATCTCCAGATCTCACCCCCATTGAAGAATTGTGGGTAAATTGGATAGATATCCAAAGTAGTCCATTATAACCACAAAGACGTAACTGAAGGTGGCACTGCTGAAGAGTGGCAAAATATTCGCCTAAAAACAATACAAAACTTGAAGGTGGCTGAAGAATGGCATAGTATTGGGCTAAAAACCATACAAAAATTAATTCCTTTGTTGCAAAGGCAACTTCAAACTCTTTTCCAATTTTTTTATAAGGTGTGCCAATAATTTTGTTTAGCCTAATCTAGTATTTTTTTTCGTTTTTTAATTTTAAGAAATTAAATATAACAGATAATATAATGAAATAAAATGAATCTAATGCCAAATTAAGCAATCTATATAAAACACTTAGTAAAGTTAAAATCGCTGCATTAACGGGGTAAAAACAGTATTTAAATTTAATACACTTACTGTGCAAATAATAATATTCGTCGCTGTATACGAAGGTCACTATATATATTTTGAGACATGGGCAACACTGATTGTTTTCAGGTATCATCTAACGTTTCTATACAAAAGTTTAATATTATTAAACATAACCAACCTTAGCTTTTTGTCAAAAAAACCTTATTTGTATTACGAGTATTTACAGTGATTTGTAAATTTAGTGTCCGGGAAAATATTGAATTAACACAAGAAAATTTTCAAGTGATGATTTATTACATTTTCCGATGTAGATTATCAAGACAAGAGTGCATCAATTAACTTACTTCTACATTTGACGATGAAGCTCCATCCTTTGCCACTGTGAAACACTGGTATAATAATTTTAATTGTGGCCGTAGTTCGCTCACTGACGAAATTCGTGAAAATTGATAATGCAAGATCGTCTGTAAAAATGTGACATACTGTGAGATTGAGGTTGAAATGGAAGTCTGGACATTAGTTAGCCGTGAAAAAGGTTTGTTTTCGATGGATCTCCCATCATTTGATAAAATCGTAAAACGATGCTCGTGTCGATTGATGCACACAAATCCTCAAGAAGAACAATGGCGGTGATTCAAAAGACAATGACAGTATATAAGACTGTAACAGGTGACAGGTGATGAATCAAGAATATATGCGTAACTGCAGTCGATTGTATGAGAATTTCAAGATGAACCAAATCCAATAAAAGTTGTTTGCGCTCGAACCACTTCGAAATAAATGGTGTCTTGTTTTTTCGAAAAAACTGGTCATGTGACAACAATACTATTACAGGAACGTAAAACGATCAATTCTGAATGGGATACAAATAGTTATTTACCGGAAGTTTTAAGTGAAATACAGAAAGCGTCTTCGGATCATTCTCCATCTCCATCAAGACAATG